GTGCCTGCCACCACACCTGGCTAAGTTTTGTATTTTTAGTAGAGATAGAGTTTCACCATTTTGATCAGGGTGGTCTTGAACTCCTGACCTCAGGTGATCCACCCACCTGACCTCCCAAGGGGCTGGGATTACAGGTGTGAGTCACTGTGCCTGGCTTGTTTTTCATTTTTTGCTATTATTAGAACATTGACAAACATTCTTATAGCTAAAATCTTTGTACACATCCATATTTACAAACTTAGAGTAAACTCATAGAAGTGGAGTTTACTAGGTCAAAGATCATGCAAAATGGTAAGGCATACTGGCAAATCACTCTCCAGAAGGCTGCTCCAGTTAATTCTTCCACCAATAGTACATAACAGTGTTTGTTCCTTGAATCTCTGTCAAGCCTATACAATGTAAATTAAGAAAACAAATTCAAACCAATTTAAAAGAGAAAAACGTGTCAATTTTTATTAGAAAAACACATTTTTCCTTAAAAGCAAAGTTGCAGAGTCTTTTAGAAATGCTTTCAATTATTTAAAGTAAGCCAAATTCTCAAGAGAATAATCTGAGAATTTCAGTTTCATTATACAAAGGTAAGAGCTAGCTTAGTGCAACTTACAGAATGCCTAATGCATGTTTCTTCATCTAAGAAACACATGCTCCAAAAGCATATGCCAGAGTCTGGTGCAACTGCTCTAAAATACACTCAAGGCTTAGCCACTTCAGATACTCCAGCACTGGAGTGCGAAGCTGCAGTAACTATCTTCCTGTGAAGGAAACACCTGGTCTAAATGCTGCTTTGATCCACATGTCATCTATTTTTTTTCCCCTGTGACTTCAACTCACTACACCCCATAAGGTACATCAAGAAAAGTTTATTCTGCGATAAGCTAACAGAGCTAGGATGGGGTCCAATTTTTTGGCTTCCCTGGGCCACACTGGAAGAACTGTCTTGGGCTACACATAAAATACACTAATGATAGATGATGACTTAAATACAAAAAATTAGCCAGGCGTGGTGGCATGCTTCTGTAGTCCCAGCTACTTGGGAGGATGATATAGGAGAATTGCTTGAACTCAGGAGGTAGAGGGTGCAGTGAGCTGAGATTGAGCCACTGTACTCCAGCCTGGGCGACAGAGAAAAACTTCATCTCAAAAAGAAAAAAAAGAACATTACTTGAATTAAGACTGCTCTGTACGCTTCCCCAAAATATAGCCCAAAACACTGTCATTTATGGTTGTTACTGCTGTTTGGTTTTACTTGTTACGGAATAGGTCAATTGCCTTTAACTGAGCTTAGTCAAAGGAGGTCATAAATTTCCTAAGTTTTCCATGAGAAACTTACCTGCAAAATATTCCCTAACTCTAAAAATCTGGTCTAAACATATGACCTGAAACTCTGTCCTATCTTAATTACTGCAGGAAACAATAAGACTTAATTGTTCAGTGAGTCTTTGGACTCCACCCACCTCCATCCTATCAATTCTGTTTTTCAGGGGTAGATTATCTCCCTGGAGTTTTTTTCAAGCTCTTTTATTTCTTGTTTTGCTTGCATTCTGTCCATTCCATTCCTCACAGGGACTTCTACTACAGAACAGGCAGCTGAATAAGAAAATTAAATTCAAATTCCTGACTGTGGGATGGATA